GTATGTGTTGTTGTATTTTACAGATTATGAAACAGAAGCATAGAGATGATGAGTAACCGTCCAATTCCTTTTTTTTTCTTTTCCTTTCTTTTCTTTTTGAGAAGGAAGTCTCGCTCTGTATCCCAGGCTGGAGGGCAGTGGCGTGATATTGGCTCACTGCAGCCTCTGACTCACGGGTTCAAGCAATCCTCCTACCTCAGCCTCCTGAATAGCTGGGGTTACAGGTGCACATCACCATGCCTGGCTAATTTTTGTGTTTTTGGTAGAGATGGGTTTTCGCCATGTCGGCAGGCTGGTCTCAAACTCCTCACCTAAAGTGATCCCTTCGCCTCTGCTTTCCAAAGTACTGGGATTACAGGTGTGAGTCACCGCGCCTGGCCGTGGACAACTCTTACAGTAAGAGTCTCAAATGGAAAAAGTCAGAGCTGGCCGGGCGCGGTGGCTCACGCCTGTAATCCCAGCACTTTGGGAGGCCGAGGCGGGCAGATTACCAGGTCAGGAGATAAAAACCATCCTGGCTAACACAGTGAAACCCCGTCCCTACTAAAAATATAGAAAATTAGCCGGGCACGGTGGCGGGCGCCTGTAGTCCCAGCTACTCCGGAGGCTGAGGCAGGAGAACGGCGTGAACCCGGGAGGCGGAGCTTGAAGTGAGCCAACATGGCGCCACTGCACTCCAGCCTGGGCCACAGAGCGAGACTCTGTCTCAAAAAAAAAAAAAACAAAAGAAAAGAAAAAGAAAAAGTCAGAGCTGGTATCTGGACAAGACTATACACAATCTACACCTGACATCACTGTGACACAAGACTTATATAACAACTTCATTTACGGAGACACTAACCTATATAATAATTAATTTCCTCTGAGCTCTGAAATCTCAGCAAATGCATCTATGCGCTCAAAATGCAATGGGGATAAAGAGAGGTTGCTTAATGGGTACAAATATAAGAAATGATATAAAAAATAAGACCTGGTGTTTGATAGGTCAGGAGGATGACTATACTTAGTGATAATCTACTGTACACTTCAAAATAGCTAGAAGAGAATCATTTGAATGTTTCTAATGTAAAGAAGCAGCAAATATTTAAGGTAATGGTTATCCCAATTTCCCTGATGTGATCTTTACATATTATATGAATGTATTAAATTATCACATGTACCCTGAAAATATGTACCCCTATTCTGTATCAATAAACAGAAATAAGGCCAGGCGCAGTGGCTTATGCCTGTAATCCTAGTACTTTGGGAGGCCGAGGCGTGCAAATCACCTGAGGACATGAGTTCAAGACCAGCCTGGCCAACATGGTGAAACCCTGTCTCTACAAAAATACAAAAATTAGCTGGGTGTGGTGGTGCACACCTGTAACCGCAGATACTCGGGAGGCTGAGGAAGGAGAACCCTTTGAACCCAAGAGGTGGAGTTAGAAGTGAGCCAAGGTCGCCCCACTGAATTCCAGCCTGGGCAATAGAGTGACATTTCATCTCAAAAAAAAAAAAGAAAAAAAAGAAATATTTTTAAAATATGCAATGCGACATGAATGCAGTTTTTCTGGTTCTTAGGAAACACACTTTCTTTCATCCCTCCTAAGACACACCTCTCCATAATTCCATCAGAGCTCTATTTCCATTGCTTCCCTTTCCAGGTAGGGAAAGAACTTGTTATAGTTGAGGAAAAAGAAGAAAGACTTAGTTCTTCCCTCTTTCATGCCAGAAACTGCATCAAAGGTGTCAGATCTACTTATTCAATGGCTTTCAGAGGAGATATGCAGGAGGCCCCACGCAAGAAGGCAGGTCTAGGAGCACCTCTCTGCGGTTCCAGAGACCAGGAAGAGCTCAGTACACCAAATATCTTTAGAACTTAGGTAAGTGAAACATTATTCCATTTGGTGCAATTTAATTAACCTGCACCATATTATTATGACAATCTTGTATTACTTTTAATGGCAAAAATCGCAATTACTTTTGCACCAACGTAGCAAATAGTGTGCATTGTCTTTCCCATAGATAGCCACTGCTGCGTTAGGGAAATCTGTGTGCAGGAAGGTATTGATGGTTTGGTACCTCCTGTCAGCAAGTTAAGAGCAAATATTGCAAGGGTACCCTGGGGCTGAAGAAATTGCAAGCATTGAACATTACATTTTTGCACATAAATGCTATGTAAAAAAAGACATTGATCAATCCAGTGTACTCAACAGTGGTTTTTACCACAAATGCAGAAGTCTTTGCCTGGGACGATATTTTACAATGTTCATTGGTTTCCAAAAAATGAGTTAATACTGGGGCATAATTCTGACTATTCCTCTCAGGGGAAGTGTGGATCAGGTCTGAAAATGTGTCATTAAATTAGGCTGCAAGACAAGTTATGCCAATAAAATAAAGAGCCCGGGTGAAGTGCCTTGTGTCTGTTAAAGACAAAATCATGCTGAAGTTACAGAGAATTTTGTTTCAATTACAGAGAACATAACAGAGAATTTTCTTTAATGTTGGCTTATACTTTACTCCTGCTTTATATAAAACAGTGTTCTCTCAAAGTCATAAATATCAAAGTAGATCATGTGTACTAGTTCTGCAGGCAAATGAAGGTAGTTGGAAATGTACACAGGAAATCTACACAAGGGACAATCAGAAAAACCTCATGAGCATGTTCTAAATACAATTTTAGTGTCTGGGAGTGGTGGCTCACACCTGTAATCCCAGCATTTTGGAAGGCTAAGGTGAACGGATTTCCTGAGGTCAAGAGTTTGAGACCAACCTAGCCAACATGGTGAAACCACATCTCTACTAAAAATACAAAAATTAGGCAGGCGTTGTATTGAGAGCCTGTAATCCCAGCTACTCAGGAGGATGAGGCAAGAGAATAACTTGAACTCAGGAGGTGGAGGTTGCAGGCAGATCACGCCACTGCAATCCAGCCTGGGTGACCAGAGCAAGACTCCGTCTCAAAAAAAAAAAAAAAAAAAAAAAAAAAAAACCCCTCCACAATTGTAAATGATGAATATGGTTGCAAATTGGGCTGGTTATGGTCTGAGCTATTTCTTAAGACACTTCAATAAGTCTGATGCATCATAAGCACAGATGTCTCCAGGAGCCAAGCAGGTGTCATCACTGAACAGATAGGATAAAAGTCTGGAAGGAGAGATGGAGTCAGAGAACGGCCCTGAGGTAAGGCGCTTTCCACAGACGCAGCTCTTACTCAGCTCTAATTGATACAGCACTAACGGAGCACCAACCAACATCATGTGAGTTTTAAATATAAGACAGTGATGAAAACCTTTAGTGAACTATTCCAATGTACAGCTTTATCTTCCAAACCAAACATTATAAAAGCACTGTGTATGCTGAAAAGAAACACTGTTTAGCCAAGTACATGCCCTGGGGCTGCGGTCTCTGTCTTTTCCCTCATACTATAGACACTTGAGTGCAAGTCTCTCTACCCAGTGTGACTGTCAGCATCACAGAGGGGATACTCTACGTATCATTCACCTTTACATTCTCATCACCTACAAAAATGATCACCACACAATATACGTGAAAAAAAAAATCCTCACTTCATGATAAAGCTGCTAATGAATGTCGGCCAGAGCAGGACTTCAAGGCAGAGCACTATTAGCTGCACACTGAGTCCTCACCAGGTCCCCTTTGTGTCCACATTTACCTAGGGACTCCAGTGATAAAATTACTGCATTTCTAAATGACAGGAAAATTGGAGGGTAGAAAAATTATGCAGATTAACTCCTGGAAGGTATATGGTATCATTTAAGGGTCTACTTTCCATTTTCTAGTCTCAAAGCTAGACCAGAGATTTAACATCTGTTAGTACCCAGGTCTTACCCCTGCAATTCACTTCCCACCTCTGTACAATTTCCCCACATCACCCCCTGTGCCCAAAATGCTCATCTCTTCCCTAAAGCCCCTGAAAACCCCTGCTTATCCTTTAGGACTCTGCTGAAATGAAACTTTTTTGGAAGTCTTCCTTGTTTCTCAAGCCAAGTGATTTCCTTCACCATCAGTGTCCCCATGAAACCATGTTCACACAAGTGCAATTACCTCTATCACATTGTAGTTCAATTTGTATCTACAATTACTTTCCTGTGTTTCTCTGAGGGCCAAGAATAAGTGGATGCTTTGTGCATCAAATTGTACAGTTGACTTCTATACTTTCAGGAATACAGTGCTCTGTCTTTAATGTTCATTTTGTAAATACAGAAACATTTTCTTGTTCATATCACAAAATGAAACTTATCAGGAAGATGAATGACAACCCAAAATAAACTGTTTTTTAGAAAATACCATAGGCTGAAAAGAACACAGGAATACCCAGTGCTAGGTTGGAATCTTTCATGACACCAAACGTTCATGCCCGAATGCACATTGTCTGCCAGATTTTACAACTTTCCTCAATGTGTTTTTAGGTTGTGTAACTTTACACAAAGTGGAAGCAATAATGAGGGCAAGACTTAAGAGAAAGTGGATTCAATGCAAGAGGAGAAAAGAAAAAACTCCCTCAAATATGTGGAGCAGATTGTTTTAATTATCTACAGAATCTTGTACCCCAAGAAAGTAGTAGCTCAAGTTTCCAGCAAAGCGTGGTGGATGAGATGGAGAGCATTTGTGTGAGAGAGAACCAAGGATATTACTAACAATGAAAGGGAAGCTAAGTTCCTCCTGGGCAAACAGCCCTCTGTGGCTCTATTTGTTCTAACTATGATGCCTGCCTTCATGTCATTTAGTCATTTAGGGGCCTGCCAGAGGACAGTTACAAAATCTGTGGTCATTCTGCAGGCAGCATATAGTTTTCATCCAGAGTCCAGATCCAACCAGCAAAACTCTGTCTTACACAGGATGACTTAGAATTAAAGTCCTTAGAGCAGAAAGAGCAGCAGGGCTGTCCTTGGGTATCCGTTGCTCAGCCAAGTCATCAGATAAAAAGGCTGATTGCACAAGTGGACCATGTGTCAATCTGTGGGTTTCTGCATGACCAAGAGTGAGACCCTCCCTCCTGGCTCTGCTGGCCCAACCCACCAGGAGATGCTTTATTTAAACAGTTCCAAGTAAGGGAGACCAGCTGACCCTGAACCCCAGAACAACCAACTGGATCAGTTCTCACAGGAGCCACAGTGCAGAGACTGGGTAAGTCAACAATCCCCAGAGCTGGGAAAGGAGGGACAGTGACCGGGCAGCACCTCAGGGAGAGGTAAGCTGAAGTTAGTGCTTAGGAGATGTGGCACACTCTGGGGACAGGAAGAAAAGGAAATGGGACCCCAGAATGGCAGCAGAGGGGCCTGTGGGTTGAGACACTACAGAGTGTGTCATAGACCGGATCAGAGAGTAGTTACTTCTCTTCTTTTCTTACAGGAAACATGGTTCCAAAATTGTTCACTTCCCAAATTTGTCTGCTTCTTCTGTTGGGGCTTATGGGTGTGGAGGGCTCACTCCATGCCAGACCCCCACAGTTTACGAAGGCTCAGTGGTTTGCCATCCAGCACATCAATGTGAACCCCCCTCGATGCACCATTGCAATGCGGGTAATAAATAATTATCAACGGCGTTGCAAAAACCAAAATACTTTTCTTCGTACAACTTTTGCAAATACAGTTAATGTTTGTCGTAACCGAAGTATACGCTGCCCTCATAACAGAACTCTCCACAATTGTCATCGTAGTAGCTACCGGGTGCCTTTACTCCACTGTGACCTCATAAATCCAGGTGCACAGAATATTTCAACCTGCAGGTATGCAGACAGACCAGGACGGAGGTTCTATGTAGTTGCATGTGAAAGCAGAGATCCACGGGATTCTCCACGGTATCCAGTGGTTCCAGTTCACCTGGATACCATCATCTAAGCTCCTGTATCAGCACTCCTCATCATCACTCATCTGCCAGGCTCCTCAATCATAGCCAAGATCCCATCCCTCCATGTACCCTGGGTATCAGCATCTGTCCTCTTCAGTCTCCATACCACTTCAGGTTTCCTGAACTGAAGTGCCTTGTGAACCCCACAATAAACTGCTTTGCAAATTCATCTGGAAAGGTCTGTGTGTCTTCGTCGGCCGCTCTACTGTCGTTTAGTGACAGTCTGCTCTAGCGATATGGGTTCATCATGAATCTCTCACCCTCAATATCTGACCAAATTCCTTAATTCCCCCATCATCCTCCATGTGATACCTGATTCCAGGCCTGCCTTAAAAAAATCCAATTGAGCCAACTAAGCATTGGTCTCCCTCGCCTTGATATCTCCTCTCCTCTAAGCAATTTTCCATCCACTGACCTCTCCCCCAACACCAGCCTATAACTTGTGTACAGATCTCCACTTGTTTTAGCTGTATTCCAGAATTGAGCCCAGTTAGATACTGAGGTCCCATTTGATGCTTTATGGTCCAACTATGGTTTTTATTGTCATGATTTCTATACCAAGAAAAAAAGGGCTGCAGTGAATAAGTTGAAAATGCACGTGTTTCATTACGATTTATGAATGACAAATTTTGATAGAATTGAACTTTATGATAGAAAACACCAAAACAGAAATAGAAAAAGTCAAGAATGCTATATATATGGTGAAAACAAGACTAAAAAAGGTTAATCTCAGTGATATATTCCTTTTAAATGAGCACAACAAATCTCCAGCTATTAGCAATTGTACTGCAGGTGGAACCTGGGTTTGAGTCAAATGTGCAATGAGATAAATTGTTCAGACAGCAATAGGGACAGATTGTAATACTGCCTGGAGGAGAGGTAGCCATCATTCCCAAAACTTCAATGTCCTGGAGATGAGGAGCTGCTGGTCACGTGGGAAGGGGAAGGGGAAGGGGAAGCAGGAGGATGGCGAGGTGGGAGCACTCATGAAGGTGAGTTGCCCCCTGCCCATTCTGCCCTCCATAGTTGCCCCCAGTGGTGAGTCAAAGGGTTCATTCAACACCCGTCAGGGAGGGCACAGCCTCAAGAATTAGGGATTTGTAGACCCAGAGAGAGAAGAAATGGATAATAAGAGCCCTTGCCCTGGCCTCCATCACAGGGCTTCACTCAGGAATCCATGAGAAACAGGAAGGGGAAGCCCTTTCTTGCAAGCTGTGGACAGGTGCAGCACTCAGGTGATTGTGCCGGGGACAGAGTGGGTCTTTTTGAACGGCCTAAGTCAGAATACAACAGAGATACCATGTCATCAGATCTGCACCTTGGTTCTTCAGTCTGAGATTTCGGACTTCTATATTTCTGCTCTTCTTGCAGACCCTCAGAAATAGCAATTTATATTCCTCGGATGACTCCATGTCAGTAATAGTTGCTCTCATTGGCACCAGACAGCAGCTGTATTGAAGTCTCTCCTCGGGAGAAGCCATTGAGATCTTGCTTCTCCAAGGTGGGGCTGTGAACTTAAAAGTTTGCACTGGGACACTGAGTTTGGGAAATCTCAGTGCTCAACAGAATCCACTGACTCTAGGTAAAATAGGCATGTCAGGAAGTGAGTGCAGTCTTCCCAACACCTCAAAGCAGCAGGAGAAGGTGGGACACTGAAAACTGGAGCCATGCTTGCTGTGAAGAAAGGTAGAGTTGACCTTCCTCGCTTCAGGTACCAGATCACAGGTGTCTTCTCAGTTAGGGATGCCTTGTCTCTAAAACCATAGGACACAGGGATCAGTCCGCACCTGCCCCCACACCCTCTCCACATTGTGACTTCAGCCCCTCTCCTGTCATCCATTCTTTCGCTCATTCATTCATCCAGCAGACATCTACTGAGTAGATACCTTGCTCCAGGCACAGTTTGAGGGAGTGTTGATGCAACACAGACCAAGACAGGTCACTGCTCTTTTGGGGCCACATTATGCTAGGATAAAAATAAACAAAAAAAAATTGTTCTAAGCATGCAAAATTTTGCTAAGTGTCAGGAGGAAAAATACACAGCATAGTACACAGAAAATTACACAGAGCTGCACGATATAGAGGTTCTGTGTGTGCCACAGACATCATAGGGCAGAGTGTAACCAGGAAAAGCCTATCTCAGAGAATGAAATCTGAACAGAAGAAAAAGCAGCCAGTCATGCAGACACCAAGTGGAGAATCATCCCAGCAAAGAGAAAGACAGTTCAAAAGTCCTGACAAACAGCAAGGCTGTAAGTAGACTTTCTGTTCTGTGTTTACGAGAAGTTGATTAAAACATCTGAAAGAGAATGACTACAATTATTTGCATCTTTGTATGTATGTATTACTTAATGTAATAAAACATTTTCAGTTTTAAAAAATGATCCTGAATGGATAGAGTTTCGGCGTGTTAGAAGCACAAAAGGTGTTTGGTCGGGACAAGATCATCATAGCCAGGAGTATTAATGATAGGAGTTAATGAGGTTCAGACCCTTCATGCCTGTGAAGATGGAAGAATAAAGTACGTTCCTCATGGGGAACAAATCAAGCATGTTACATACAAGAATAATGTTACCTAAAGATCAGTCCAGCTGCTGTGCAGAACTCAACTATTTGGGAGACAAGAGTGGAAGCAAGGCCCCAGTGAAGGACCACAGGTTGAGGGAGAGGGAAACAAGAGTCTTCCAATCTCAGTGAATCACACCATCATCCTCTCATGGTGCAGCCCCATGTTATTCCCCTTCCTGTTGCCATGACCTTTCTCCAGCTCCTCCGTGTCTTCCATATCATCTTCCTGCCGTCCCCATGCTGAGGATTGGGCTAAGGTCAGGGCAGCTCCCCTCTCCCAGGGAGTGAGACAGTTCAAACAAGAGCGAGGAGGATTCTGTGCTTGACCGTCAGAAAACCCTGGCTGGACTCAGTACCCCTTCTGCAGTAGACATCCAAGATTTTCTCATTGCCCTGGACCCAAGACCAGCATCACAGAGACTACCATTAGAGAAGTTAAGTGTTCACATCAGCATGTTCCAAAGACATGACCTTTAGAATCCACTTCTCTTCCTTGAACCTCCCATGTCTGATTTTATAAAATTCTCTTAATATCAAATCTCCAGAAAGTCTTGCAGGAGTAAATGCAGTTAATTGTTCTGTAAGCTGACAGGGAGGGTCTCCGGGGATTGTAAGAATTTAGCCAACTTGAGCAATCAGCCTGTTATACAAGTTTGCTGGTGGGAACCAGCTCCTGGCATGACCCAGCAACCTAACAGACAAATCAGCATGAACTTTCCTCATTACCATGCTAAAGTCTCCACTCAGTCAGGAGCCTCATTACCATAACATGTGAACTATGTGCTGGCAGAATCACTCACTGTGTCTGGGCAACTGGGACTCCTCCTCTATATGTGATGATACACCCTCTCTCTGCCCTCTCCATCACCCCATAGAATGTTCTTGTCACTTTCCCTCAGGAAGACGCTGCTTTGGAGAATCCTCCCAGTGGCCTTCTTACTTGAACCAAGTCACAAAACTTTTATTTATCAAAACGTATGTTTTCATAGAGAGTCTTTGTTACTCGCCAGGGAAACAAATCCTAGTTTTCTCAGCTACCAGCTCTAACACATTCTGTATAATCTAGCACAGAAGGAAGGTTAATTCACAATGCTACTGTTTTCACTTTGTTTTACTTTTTAATAATTGGGACCACATCAGGGCAGATGTCTTTAGGTGGGGGTTGAATGGAAGGTCAAGGAGACAAATCATCATCTTGGAAGGACACTCTTGCAGAGATTATGACTACACTTGGGATTCATGCATATGAGACCCCACCAGCAGAGTAGCCTGCAGTGTTCAAGGATATCCAAGTAGACTAAACATTTTAATGAGAAAACAACAGGCTTTGTCTTTCAAGAAGTCCGCGAATTGACTTTCCGAAAGGGAAAGAAGGCCCCATTTTCAGGGCAGAAGACAGAAGAGGAGAGGGGTTTAGGTTAAACATTGTAATCAATTTTTCCTGATAATGACTTTTTGTTTCTTTCTTGGTTCATTTTTATTTATTTATTTATTTTCCCAGACTGGAGTGCAGTGGTGCAATTTCGGCTCACTGCAGCCTCCATCTCCCAGGTTCAAGCAATTCTCCTGCCTCTGCCTCCCGAGTAGCTGGGACTATAGGCTTGCACCGCTAAGCCCAGCTAATTTTTGTATTATTAGTAGAGATGGGGTTTCACCATGTTGGCCAGGCTGGTCTCAAACTCCTGACCTCAGGTGATCTGCCCTACACGGCCTCCGAAATTGACAGGATTACAGACTTAAGCCATCATACCCAGTCTCTTAGTTCATTTTTAGAGATGAGGTCTCCCTATGGACTTGAAATTGTGGGCTCAAGCAATGTTTTTGCCTTAAACATCCCAGTAGTTGGGTCTATAAATACACACCACTGAGCCCAGCTGATACTCACATTTTATGAGCTATGTTTCCACTCTGATTACTTAAGGAAGTGAGGCAATTAGTAGGGATAGGAGCATAGAAATTCTGTCCACATTCCTATTTCCTATTACCTATGAAAAATAGCCTTGTTTCTGAACTAGAACTTGATTTTGGTTAATAAATGTTTTTCTATATTAATATGCATGTAGAATTATGACAGACTTGTCACTTTTGTCTCACGTCTGATCTACAATGATTTCAAAAGAAGATCAATTGACTACTTCAACATTTTCATTGTTTGAAAGATAACATGGATGTAAAACTGGGTGATGTGAGAGAATTTAGCATATAGGGCCAGCCAGGTTGCCCAAATGAATATCTGGGAAACCGAATACGTTACATGCTTATCACACATTCCCACTGATTTAGAAGATATGACTCTATTAGTCAGGGTCATCAAGAGAAACATAGCAGATGTATGTAGAAAGAGACAGACAGAAATATAGATACAGAAGGATTTATCATGAGAAATTGGCTCAGCCAGTTATGCAGTCGGTGAAGTCCCACAGTCTGCTTTCTGCAAGCTGGCAGACCCAGAAAAGCCCGTGGTATAATTCGGTTCAAGTCCTAATGCCTGAAAAATATGGGAGTCGAGGACATAGATGTCAACCCAAGTGTGGGAACGATGACACAAGATGTCCTAACTTTGGAAGTGAGGCAAGAAAAATGGTGAATTCCTCCTTTCTC